TGTAACCATGCAGTATGTGGTCTTTCCTCTGGCTTCATTCACCTAGCATGATATTATCAAGGTTCATCCTTACTGTTGCATGTATCAATACCTCATTTCTTTTTATTGCCGAATAATATTGCATTGCATGAATATAACACATTTTTTGTTTATTAAGCTGTTATTAGACATTTAGGTTGTTTCCACCTTTCAGCTATTGTGAATAGTGCTGCTGTGAACACTTGTGTATAAGTTTTTATGTGGACATAAGTTTTCATTTCTCTTGGGTAGACAGTATTCATATAGTAACTCTGTGTTTAACTTGTTGAAGAACTGCCAGACTGTTCCATTTTACTTTCCCACCAGCAGTGTATTAGGGGTCTCTTTTCTCTATATCCCTACCAACACTTGTTATATCTTGTCTTTTTTATTGTAATCATCATGGGTATGGAATAGTATTTGATTGTGATTTTTATTTGTATTTCTCTAATGAGTAACTACGTGGAACATCTTTTCATATGTTTATTGACCATTTATATTAATGTATCTTCTTTAGAGAAAGGCCTATTCTAATCTTTAGCCCATTGGATTATTTATCTTTTCATTATTGAGTTGTCAGAATTCTTTGTATATTCTGAATACCTTATCAGATATATGATTTGCACATATTTTCTCCCAGCCCTTTCACTTTCTTGATGGCATCCTTTGAAGCACAAAAGTTTTAAATTTTGATAAGGTCCACCTTCTCAATTTTCTTTGATCACTTGTATTTTTTTTTATCACTTGTACCTTGGTACAGTGATTTCATGATTTTATTGCATAACCCAGAGTCCCTAGAATTTAATGTTTTCTTCTGAGAGTTTTGTAGTTTTAGCTCTTATATTTAGGTCCACATTCCACTTTGAGTTCATTTCTTGTATGGTGTGAGGTTAAGAGTCCAACTTCATTCTTTTGTATGTGGATATCCAATTGTCCCAATACATGTTTTGAAAGACTCTTCTTTTCCCATTGAATTGTCTTGACCTCTCCATTGAAAATCAGTTGATCAGACTCTCATTTCTATTCCACTGATCTATATACACTTATTCTGTTCATTTCTAATTTAATTCTTTTGTGGTAGGAGAGTATACTTTGGTTTCAATTCTTTTTAAAATTTTTGAGATTTATTGCATAGTACATGATCTGTACTATGATTTTTCCATGTGTGCTTGAAAGGAATGTGATTTTGTTCTTGCTGGGTGGAGTGTTCTACAGATGGCAGTTAGTTCAAGTTGATTGATGGTATTGGTCAAGTTTTCCAGATTCTTGCTTATTTTATATCTAGTTTATCTCCCCAGTAGTGAGAATAGGGTATTAAAATCTCCTACTATTACTACCGAATTATTTCTCTCTTTGGTTTTGTCAGTTTTTATTTAATATATTTTGGGCTTCTGTTGTTAGATGTGTATATGTTTATAATTGTTACATTGTCCCGATGAATTAATCTTTCCATACTTATAAAGTGTTCTTTGTTTTTAGTAATATTTTTGTCTTGGGGGTTGGTTTTTAAGGCTAAAGGAACACTCATTTCCTCATCTCTCTTTTTTGCTGCTTCTTATTCCATAGTTTGGGAAACCAGGTGACCAGACATTATAACTATAGTTATTATACCAGGGCAGCACTACTTGCCCCTCTATTTTTATATTAGGGTTCTGAGTAAAATTTCATATTTTTTTTAAAAAGAGGTTCTGCAGTTAAAAAAACTTGAAGGCTTTTCCAATTTAAAATCTTTTTTTTTTTTTTAACCTGTTTTTGTCTGCTTAGCAGCAGCAGCAGTCCTTTTGTCTTACTTATGGATCTTTGCTTTTGAAGTTTCTGAATAAGTTACCTTTAGTTAGGTGAAGTGGATAGAGTTATTCTTAAGAATGTCCAATCTAAAATGTTAACATTTGGGGGTGTGAGTGAAGGGTATACTAGATTCTTTGTATATTCTTGCATGCCTTTTTCCAAGTCTAAAAATAAGTTAAATAAATCTCTACCTAAATGAGGCATTGTTAGTTACCTTTTCCCACTTGCAGGTAATACTAGTCTTACTGACTTTCAAAGTCTATTGATTTTGCAGTCTAACCTTATGTAGTACATCCTGAGCTATTAGTTTCTTAGCTCTGTCCTAGCTGTGTCATCTGATAGGCAAATTTCTAGGAGTTAGCGTAGACTCTTCCTGTTCCTTCACAATCATATTCATTCAGATAGTAAATCTTGTATTTAGTACTTCGTTAATATATCTTGCCTCTTGACACTATTTTCACTCAAACGTCAGCAACTCTTCCCTGGATTATTACAGTAGCTCTCTAACTGATATCCTTGTTTTACATTGTATGTCGTAGAAATCCTTGGTGACTATCTGTCTCTGTCCTCATCTTCCTGCTTCTAGTATTGCTGTACTTTGTCGTTCAGTTGTGTCCAACTCTTTGTCACCTCATGGAGTGTAGCCTACCAGACTCCTCTGTCCATGGGGGTTCTCCAGGCAAGAATACTGGAGTGGCTTCCCATGCCCTCTTCCAGGGGATGTTCCCAACCCAAGGATCGAACCCAGGTCTCCCGCATTGCAGATGGATTCTTTACTGTCTGAGCCACCAGGTCTAGTATTGTTAGTGAATTGTTTATATACTTGTTCTGCTATTTCATGACTTTGCTTGTCATCTTCCCTCTGCTTGGATGAGCTAATTTTCTTTCTTAGAGACTCAGTTCAGGCATCTTTTCCAGGAAGCATACTTAACCTGGACTCCCAAGAGTCCAACTTCATTCTTGTGTATGTAGACATCCAGTTGTCCTAGCACCATTTGTTGAAGAGAGAGTTCTTTCCCCATTGAATTGTCTTGGCATCCTTGTGGGAAATCAGTCAACCACAAATATATGTGTTTATTTCTGGACTCTGTATTTTTATTCCATCTATTTATCCATCTATCCTTATACCAGTACCACACTGTCTTAATACTGTAGCTTTATATAGTAGGTTTTAAAATTGGAAAGGTTGAGTCCATTAGCTCTGTTCTTTTTTAGGTTTGCCTGGACTTAGCTATTCTGGGACCCTTGAAGTTTTGTATGAATTTTAGGATCAGCTTGTTAATTTCTTCTAAGAAACCAACTGAAATTTTGATAGGAATTGTGTTGAATGTATAGAACAGTTTAGGATATTTCACCCAATTTTGTTTGTTTTAGTTTAGAGTTGTTTTTCAAATTTTTTATTGTTTATTTTTGGTTTGACATGACAAATTCTGCCTTCTAGGCTATATAATATCATAACAAATATACATGTTTAACTTTGTGATGTATGTTTATGGTGAGAAGAAAAGATTTTTCTTATTGGTTTGACCATTCATTTGAAAAACCTTTTAAACAGTTTTTCTTTATATGTTACACATATTTCCACATGTTCTTTGTGGAAAATTTTAGAAAATACAGAAAAGCAGAAAGAAAAAAAGTCCATAATTCCACCATTCAGAGTTAACATCGAGTGTGTGTGTGTATAATGAAAGTTTGTTGTATATATTTCTTTTTTCATTTAACCATATAACATATGGGAAATGTCTTTTCATCTCACTACTACAGTGTTTTTAAAATGCTGTATCCTATCTCATTTTGAGATACTTAATTAAACCCCTGTTATGTTTATATTTAGTTATAGTTTTTCCAAATTATAAATGCTATAATGAATGTCTTTACAGTTAAATCTTTGCACAGATTCTTGACTGTTTTCTATGACAAGTTCCTATGAATGGAATTGCTGGTTCAAGAGGATACATATTTAAGTCTTTCTTGCCGTTTTTAAATAATATAATGTGTTAATATTTGATAGTAGTTAAAATCTTCCTATTGAAATATGAAGGCAAGCTCAATGAACAAGTATAATATTTGCATTATTCAAAACTACTGTTGGATGTTCATGGTAGCATTATTCACAATAGTTAAAAGGTGGAAACAATCCACTGATTAGATGAATGGATAAACAAAATGTGTTATATACATACAATAGACTATTATTATTCAGCCTTAAAATGAATGAAATTCTGATACATGCTATATTTACACACACACACACACACACACACACACACACACACGAAACTTGAGAATATTATGCCAAGTGAAATAAGCCAGACACAAAAGGACAAATATTGTATGAGTCTTTACATGAAGCACCTAGAACAAACAAATTCACAAGGACCTAAAATAGAATAGAGACTACCAGGGTCTGAGGTGATGAGGAGTTACTGTTTTAAAGATTTCAGTTTGGAAGGATGGAAACGTTTTGGAAATGGATAGTAGTGATGATTGCACAGCATTGTCAGAGTATTTAATGCCACTGAATTGTACACTTAACAGTGATTAAATTTTGCCACAATAAAAAAATCTATGGATTAGTTCCAGAATTTTAGACAAAAACCACCTACTGAGAAATTATGTGCTATTTTTTGCTTATTGTACGTGTTATGTGTGTGTGCATGTTTAGCCGTGTCTGACTCTTTGTGACCCCATGGACTGTAGCCCGCCAGCCTTCTCTGTCTATGGAATTCTCTAGGCAAGAATGCTGGAGTGGGTTGCCATTTCCCTTCTTCAGGGGATTTTCCTGAGCCAGGGATTGAACCATGGTCCCCTGCATTGCAGGCAGATTTCTTTGCCATCTGAGCCACCAGAGAAGCCTATTTTGTGTACTGCCTTGTAGCTAAGCAAATTCAGGGTTTGGATACTTGCTTTAAATATGATAGATTCATAGAAGGTGCTGAGAACTAGGTTTATAAACAATGTTCATGCAGTATGAAGACTTGTTGAGCTGTATGCCAAGTAGTCTGCTAGGCACTGAGGACTGCAATGGTAAACAAGATAAGACATAGTCCCTGGAGCCTGCTGGTTGCTAAGACTGGACAGAAAAAGAACAAATTTCTTATTAAGAAAAAAGGGATTAAACAGTCAGGTGATTTTTCTCCTTAATGATTTCCTTTGTGGGGTGATTTTAATATATCCTTCTTTCCTCCCTTCAGGTTGCTATGGAAATATATGACCACATAAAAGGAAGTCCATCCTGATAATTCTGATACCTGAGATGGAACTGGACTGAAGAGTGGAACAGGAAAAATTTTAGTGCCAACCTTAATTACAATGGATACTGATTCAGGGGAGCCAGCTAGCACAGAAGATTCTGAGAAACCTGATGGAGTTTCATTGGAAAACAGAGTTCCTCAGGTTGCAGCAACTTTGACAGTGGAAGCTAGACTAAAGGAGAAAAGCAATACCTTCTCTGCTTCTGGAGAAACTATAGAAAAGAAAAGATTCTTTCGAAAGAGTGTTGAGATGACAGAAGATGACAAAGTTGCTGAATCTTCCTCCAAAGATGAGAGAATAAAGACTGCAACAAATGTTCCAAGAGTAGAAAAGCTTCCTACAAATGTGCTAAGAGGAGGACAAGAAGTTAAATATGAGCAATGTTCAAAGGGAACGTCAGAATCCTCAAAAGATTATTTCAAGGAGAAAAATGAAAAGGAGATGGAAGAAGAAGCAGAAATGAAGGCTGTAGCTACTTCTCCTAGTGGCAGGTTCCTGAAATTTGACATAGAACTGGGAAGAGGAGCATTTAAAACAGTATATAAAGGACTGGACACTGAAACATGGGTTGAGGTTGCTTGGTGTGAGCTGCAGGTGGGTATATAATCTTCTTGGTTTTAATAAATTCCAGTTTCAGCTGGCCTGGACTTCTGAGTGATCCAGGATTAAAATGTATCATGGATTAAAATAAAATGAAGGACTTGTCCCCACATCCCTGAAATTATTCTTAAATCCTTTTAGCTCATGCCAAACTTTTCTTTCCCTACTGTTTTCCTCTCTGTTTTAAAGGGGGGACAGTCTGTCCTGGCTTTCTTTGGGGAAATGATTCTAATTTGTTAACCTTAGAAAATTCTCAAAACTCTTAATGTCTTATTTTGAAAGCTTTTAGTAAATGTATGCCTTGTGAGTTGATATTTTAGGGATATATTCAGTATGATATTTTCCATTTCTGTCAACAGACTTTTTGGGGTTCATGTGCTGTTTTTCAGAACAGGAAATGCTTTCCTTGCTTCTTTGAGGGCTTCTAGTAGTATAAATTCCTCTCCATGCCTTTGAGTTTGCCTCAGAGAGGATCTTTGGATGAAATAATCACCAGAATCTACTGGGATAGGTCAACTGGAATGTTGTTCAGGAAGGAGAAGTGAAAGCATCAGAAGAATGGTTGAATTATCTAGATATTTGGTTCCATAGTAATTGTCTATATGGTACTTTTAACTAATGAAGGAGTAAATGGAGACAGAACATCATAGAAAAGGTTATAATAGGAATAGCTTCAGAGAGATGTATATCAAACATAAGGAAAACCTTTGTGACCTCAGTCAGCTCATGGGAAATGGTCAGTGTTCATAAGAGATGCTTAAAATTAAGATTAAATAAAGCTAGTTGCTAAATACAGGTTTTTGTTGTTCATATTCCAGTGGTTGCTGTGTGTGGGTGTATAGGTATGTATCATGATTTCACCCATTCTGAATTTGCTATAGTTTGCCATTTAGATAGGTTGAAATTTAGTCTTGGTCCCTGCATTTCTAGGAATCTTTTTGTTTCCAAACTTGACTGTGTTTAAGAGTCACTGTTTGCTTTGTATGCAGATTTAGGAGACTATCGTCAGAGATTCAGTAAATCTGGGGTGGGATGCAAGACTACATTTTTAACAAGCTTTCAAAGTGCTTTGAATATAGGAAGTCCCTTGATGACTGTTTGGAGTCAAGCCATTAGAGTAGTTCTTGAAAGGTGTGTGCATGTGCTATGCGGGGTTTGCTTGGTTTTCTTCTCACCCCTTTTTACCCTTTAAGAATTTTATTATAAATTCTGTGTCATAGTAGGAATATTGGATCCTCCAAGTAAACAAACATTAAGATCACCTGAAATTATAATTCTTTGAGGATGCTTTAACCATGTTAGTATATATCTTTATGGACTCTTTCTTTTGAATAAATGTATATGTGACTGTATGCACCCCCATGGAACCATACTATAAGGTTTGGACAAAACTTTGTTTTTAAACTTAATCATGAACATCTTTTCATTACTGGTAGTTGTACATTTACATCACTATTTTTGATAGATGCCTTTATAAGATATTTAATCAGTCCTCTATTGTTGGACTTCTAGATTTTCTCCAGTATTTTACTGTTATAAACATGGTCATGAAAAATATTTTTGCATATATATATATATGTGTGTGTGTGTGTGAATGAAGTTATGTAAATTTTAATTTAATCTCTGCATTGTGATTTCAGTAACATTCATCTTTTTTGGGGGTAGGGACCTACAAGATGTAAAATACTTATTGTCTGGTCCTTTGTTGTTGTTATTGTTATTTATTTTTTTCTTCTAATTTTATTGAGATATAATTGACATAGAACACTGTGTAAGTTTAAAGTGTACAGTATAATGATTGGACTAAGATACATCATGAAATGAATAGGGCAGTGAGTTTAGTGAACATCGTCTCAGATACAAAATTAAATAGAAAAATTTTTTTCCTTGTGATGAGAACGCCTAGGATTTACTCCCTTAACCATTTCTATGGATAACATACAATAGTGTTATCTTTATCTTGTTGTACATTATGTTTCTAGTACTTATTTATCTTATAAATGGAAGTTTATATCTTTTGACTGCAGTAACACTCATCTTTTAGTGTTATTCTGTTTGTAAATGGGGGAGATAATTTCCATTCACTTGGTAGTAGGACACATAGTAAAGATAATCAAATATTTTGCAAGTTGTATACTCTAGCTATGCTAAAGAATGTTTCTGTAAAACTTAAAAATATTTCAGTAATAATAACTGCATATGGGAATACCTTTTATTATTCACCTGTGGAAAGACTGAAAGATCCTATAAGGTCTTACTACTCCAAGTGTACTCCATGGACCAGCAGCATGGATATCACCTGGTAACTTAGAGTTTCAGGTCCCCAGGACCCCAGACCTATTGAATCAGAATCTACCTCTTAGTAACATCTGCAGGTGATTTTTATGCACAGTAGAGCTTGAAAAGCACTGAAATAAGGGATCAATTCCAAGAGCCAGCTGAATCACAGGAGGAATTCCCTTAATATACCAACATGAGCTTTATATAATATTATATCACATATTACTGATTCATGGCATCCACTGCAGACTTTCTAAATCAGAATCTCCAAGAGATAAGACTCAGGAACTTTTATTATTTATTTATGTTTTAAATGCAGTTTTATTATTATTACTTTTTGTTTGTGCTGTGTAGCTTGAGGGATCTTAGTTCCCCAACCAGGGATCAAACCTGTGGCCCCTGCTGTGGAAGCATGGAGTCCTAACCACCGAACCACCAGGGAATTTCCCCCAGGAACTTACTTTTAAAAGTTCTCCAGGTAATTGGATATATAGCCAGATTTGTGGATCTGTCATGGGGAGCAAGTGTAAATTTTAATTTACAAAGATAAAGTACATTTTTGGGGAGCTGCCCTGGGCCTTCATTGCTTTGTGCAGGCTTTCTCTAGTTGCAGTGAGCAGGGGCTACTGTTCGTTATGGTGTGTGGGCTTCTCATTGTGGTGGCTTCTCTTGTTGTGGAGCATAGGCTTTAGGTATGCAGGCTTCAGTAGTTGCGGCACATAGGCTCAGTAGTTGCATCTTGTAGGTTTTAGAGCTTGGACTCAGTATTTGTGGAGTAGGGACTTAGTTGCTCCAGAGCATGTGGAATCTTCCTGGACCAGGGATCAAATCCGTGCTCCCTGCATTGGCAGGCGAGTTCTTATCCACTGTGCTACCAGGGAAGTCCTAAAGTGTAAAGTATATTTTAATTTACACAAAGAACAACAACTGAAGGTTTCTTTTCTGAATTGGGCTTCCCAGGTGGCACTAATGGTAAAGAATCCACTTGCCAATGCAGGAAACTTGGGTTCCATCCCTGGGTGGGGAAGAACCCCTGGAGAAGGAAATGGCAACCCACTCCAGTATTCTTGCCTGGAAAATTCCGTGGACAAAGGAGCCTGGTGGGCTACCGTCAATGGGGTTGCAAAGAATTGAACATAACTGAACGACTAAGCACATTCTGAAAGGAATGTCGAAATTAGTAGACTTAGTTGATACTGTTTTTAGATATCATGTCATTTTTTGCATATTTGGAATTAGGAAAAACTAACTTATTTAGAGCACATCCCTGGTGAGTCAGTGGTAAAGAATCCACCTGCCAATGCAGGAGACATGGATTCGATCCCTGGGTCAGGAAGATCCCAGGAGAAGGAAATGTCAACCCACTCCAGTATTCTTTCCTGGGAAATCCTGTGGACAGAGGAGCCTGGTGGGCTATGGTTCATGGGGTTGCAAAAGTGTTGGACATGACTTGATGACCGAAAACAGCAGCAACAAACTTATTTAGAATCCCAGGAAGATAATAAGGACATCATCTTTTAATTGCTTTCCTGTAAGTACTATGTAATTTGTAATGTACAATTTCTCATATTTTTTTCAGTAAAATCTTACTCTTTATTACATAATTAAACAAGTTTGTTGAAAAATATCCCAGTGAACAGTTTAAATTATTCTAGATTCTTTCCCAACCTTTGTTTATATAGGTGTGTATGTATAATATATAAAATTTGTGTGTCTATACTTTTATCAACTTGATATGTATTTTCTATTTATTAACATTAAAATATGTAAGCTATATTTTTGTTGTATACATACCACCTCTTAATCTTCCAACCTGAAATATGGCAGTTCTTTTCCTTTTTAAAATTTTACTTTTGTATGTTTGATTTGAAATTCATAGCTCAGAAAAGACTTTTATACCTTTTTCTTGGTAGATACTTGAGCCTTGTCCAGCAATTCTTAAAAGCCTTACAGCCATTTATTTAGAATACATTGACTTTAGGGCAGTGCAAGAATCAGGATAGATTGTACTGCTGATGTTTGACTTTGAGGATGTTAAAAACAGACAAACCTTTGATGATGTGCGTCAGATTTAAGATTTGGCCATAAATACCTGCATTCCAACAGTTTGTCGTATTTTATGGTTTCCATAATTTGATTTATTTTTTTCTCTTCCATAATTTGATTTTTTAATGCATTAGTGGACTTTGATCTATTTTTTTTTTTGTAAAGAATTTGTAGATTACTTGGTAATTACTTGATAAATTGGTAATTTACTGTGAGTGAGGGCTGTCAGTCATATGTTTTATATAGAAGACTTTAGTTCATGATGTTGAAAGACCTGGTCATATGTTACTAAAAGGCCTGTTTAGTAACTTTTAGGAGGAGTCGGTCATACGGGTATGTAATAGTTTTCTCCTCCACTGGCAGCTTGAAAAATCAGTAGCACTTTGCTTTTATACATGGGAAGACAAGCAGTTTCTGCTTTACTTTCACTAGTATGTCATTTGTTTTCTTGATGGAACTGAGTTTTCATATAATGGGGCTATTTTCCAATCAGAGGAATCACATAGATATGTGAATTTTGTTATTTGACTGTTTCTAAATATATTTGCTTGTAATAAGCTTCACTGTGGGATCAATTCTGTGATTATGTGCTTTTCAAGGTAATTAAACAGGCCATCTTTAAATAGCTCTAACAACTAGACCTCTAACAAGTCAGCTATAGTCTCTGA